ATATTTATTTTATTTGCTTAAAAAACAAAATATTGGATTTGTATTGAAAAAAATACATATTATATATCATATTTTAACATTTTCTATCTTATATCATCCATTTAAACTTCACTTTTAATTGATAGTAGTAACAAAAAATCTTAAAAGAATCTTGAAGATTGTGATTTTTTTTTTACTTCTCTAAATTGCACACACACAAAGAATAATTTTTAAAACATTACATAGAAAATTTTCATTTAAAATAAACCAAATTATACAACAGTATTGTGAGTTTTTTATAAAAACATTTTTTTAAATATATCCGTTAAAAGATGTGTAAACAAAAAATAAACTTATAAATATAATGTAAATAAAAAAGTTAACTAATAGTAATAAAAAAATAATAATAGTAAAAAATTTAATGATAAAGGGTACTGTTAATACAAAAAAAAGAAGACAAAAAATAAAAAGTAAAGTATTTGTAAACCCCTTTTAGTAAACTTTAATACTATTTTTATAAAAAAATTGTATAAAAAACATGCAAATAATTTAACCTTCACAAACAATGACTGTTCAAAAGTTGTAGTTTAATTCATTTTTCTAAATTCTGAAGAAAAAAAAAAATTTAACAGCATCACTGAAATGCCAACAATATAATAAGCAGCATGACAAAGTTTATCAAAGATTAATTATCTGCTTTTTTATTACTTAATCTTTTTTCCAATATTTTATTTTATTTATTACACATTAAAATCAGAAGATTAAATTTATTAAAGCTTAACATAAGTTAAAAGCTATAAACACTAAATTATTAAATTCAAAACAATCAAAAGAAATAAAATCTGCTGAAAATCAACTAATTAGTTTAAAATTATAACTTAAAAATATTACAAATTTAAATGTGATTTTTGTTATAATTAATAAATTGCTGAAATACATTTTTTCAAAAATGATTAACTGATATGGTATATATTCAAAGCAATATAATAGCCATGTAATATTGTGAATCAAAAATTAAAGTAATAAAAACTATAAATAATAATCTAAATAAACACTAAAAAAATAAAAACAAACAATTTAGAATATATATATTTTTTTAATGAAAATAAAAACCAAGGAAAAAACAGCAACAAAAAAATTAATATTAAAAAAGTTAATATCTTCACTGATTGAATATATTAAAAAATTTTTTGTTGCTGTTTTTTTACTTGGTGCCTCCCAGCACCCCTGTATGGATGAGCCCTCCATTTAAAAGAGGGCTATTCCATACCATTATTACTGCAACATTGTTAAAGGACCTCTCATGTTAAAGGACCTCAACATGTTAAAGGACCTCTCAGAGTGGTCCTGGGTGCTGGGAGCAATATAGTCTTTAGCTGCTCCAATTTAGATCTAAAGAAAAAATAATAATATAATAAAAAATAGATATTTGCATTAAAAATAATAAAATGAAAACTCCTAATATAGAAAAATTAAAAAAAAAACGTAGTAAAACCCTTTTAAGCAAACTTCAATATTATTTATTTGAAAAAAATATTAGTAAAAATTTTTAAAAAATTCACTTAACTTAACAATATTTTGTTCTTCTATACCACAGAAATACATCATTTGATAAATAAAAAATGTAACAAATAAGTAAATAAGAAAAAAATTACATACAAAAAAATGAAATCATTGTACCTGATAAAGCTGATGTGATTTACCAGAGTAGTAGTAGTAGTAGTAGTAGTAGTAGTAGTAGTAGTAGTAGTAGTAGTAGTAGTAGTAGTAGTAGTAGTAGTAGTAGGCTTTTAGTGAATCTAAATATTAATTTTAGTGAATGATTAAATGCAGTGAGGTCTAATAATGAAATTAACTATGTATCATTTTTAACAGTAGACAACAACTTGAAGGTAAACCAAATGTATATCAACTCAGAAGATTACAAAAAAGCAACATCACAACAACAATAGCATTCACCATAAGTTCATATAATATGCATATAACATAACTTAAGAAACATAACATTCATATATAACAGAACATCAGTAACAACATTACGCAAAATGTTATTAAAATACATTATGTATTTTCAGAGTAATTATTAATAAAGGCTTGAAAACACCTAGATCTAAAGCAGTAACAGTTTGAAACGAAACACTGCTTTGTAACCCTTTGCAGTAAGTGACTTGGCTGGCAAGGTTGACAAATCTTGCTTAACACGTTTACCGTGTTAAGCAAGATTTGTCAACCGTGTTAAGCAAGATTTGTCAAAATATGTTTATATATGTTTTCAAAATGCTGTATTCACAGCATTTTGAAAACATATATAAACATATTTATACACTTTTATAAAACAGTTATATAACTTATATTAACACATACACAAACAATAAAAAAACATGTTACATTATTATAAAAACACACTGATAAAAAAGCTATAAAGCACATTTTACAAAAAAGCATATACACATAATTATCAAAAAAGCAATGCAAACAATAAACATATAACTTGAATTGTGCAAACAAAAATTTTAAAAATGGCATGAAAAAATTTTAAAAGATTCAAAGTAAACAAAATATAAATATTTATATACAAACAATACTCTTTACCTTTTTCTTTCATAAGAACTGTAGTTCTCATAACAAAAATTTAATCTTTACATACAATAACATGTGACATGTCAGTAGTGGCACGAAATTTCAATTTATTTTTCTAAATTTTCTAAAAAAGAGCAAAAACAGTTAATAGCATCACAGAAATTTCATGGTAGTAATAACCAATTTTATTGAAATTAGTATAACTTTTTTGTTGCATTAGTAAAAAACTTTTTTGTTGCATAAAAAAATAATTAGACCTCATCCTTACCTCTATCTTCCTTCTAAAAAATTGAAGATATGCTCAATAAAAACTGCTAGAAAAAAATAAAGCCAAAAGAAAAACTAAAACAAACAAAATGTAAATGATTTAAAAAATTAAAAGGAGTAATCCTTTTATTTTTAATAAAAAATATTATATATAAATTGCGAAACTATTTTCAATGCTTATATGATCTTAACGATGATTATTATAATATGATCTTAACGATGATTATTTATCTTAATATGATTCTTTATGTAATATTTCTAAACTAATCTTAATATTAATTCAATTCTAAAGGTAAAAAGTTTTAACTCGGTTGAAAGATCTTCCTCTAATAACCGCGTGCATTTTGAAAACGCGCTGTTTCAAGTTCAGAAAAGCCTAGTAACTAATTAAAACTGCTTTAAAAACGAAAGCGAAACGACATTGAACATTGAACATTGAACATTGAATTTTTACAGTATTCATATTTAGAGAAGATTAACAATCTATAAAATAAATACCACTTAGAAAAGTTATTTAATATCTTTTAAAATATTTTTTTATTTTTCTATATATTTATGGATTAGCCTTATATTAAAACGTTTATGCTGACATATTTGTCAAAGAAGAATGGTAAATATAAAAAAAATCATTTTACAGAAATTCGTAAGAATATAAAAGACTAAATATAAATTTTTACATCCGATAAAAGCAAAAAAAATAAATAAATAATAAATGCAAAATTAAAAATAAAGAAAACATGCTATATATAATATATATCCCGCTATATATATATATATATATATATATATATATATATATATATATATATATATATATATATATATATATATATATATATATATATATATATATATATATATATATATATATATATATATCATGCTATATATAATAATATCTACTATATTATAGTGGACCCAATACTGTTATTACCGTAATTGTTCAAGCACCGGTATTGGGTTTTCCAGTGGTGGATTAAAACTTCTTGGGACCCAGAGCTGTTTTTGTTTTTTAGAGGCCTTTTTATGTGCCAGAGCCTAAGAATGACTTTACTAAAAAAAAATATATAAAAAAAAAAAAGTCAACTAAAATTTTTGGAAGCCCCTAAATTTGCGGGGCCCGGGGCTATAGTCCCACCTAGCCCCCCCTTCCTCCTTGATCCGGCACTAGGGTTGGCTCAATACAGGCGGTATCACTCTTTGCGTAAATGGAACACAGTGAACTCCTGATATCTCGAACCTCCAAGAGACCTAGAAAACAGTTCGAGTTAGCGAGTGTTCGAGTTATCGGGACATTCTGTTACACGAAAAATTGCAAATAAGTAAAAAAAAATTCGAGTAATAAGTTTTATTGAAAATTTTTTCTTTCTTTTTGATCCGTTCCCCTTGAAACCTCACTAATTCTTTCACATAAAAATAACTCGAACACCCGTTACCTCGAACATTCGCTAAATCGAACCATTTTATCTGCTCCCATTGCTAATATTTTTTCAATAACTCAAACTTTAGAACAAAAATATAAAAAGAAACCGAATGATACCCTTGCACAGCATTCCTACTGGTTGGGTTTAAACGTAGGAGAGTGCCAAAATATTCTTATATAAATTACTTAAGCGTATTAATTTAAATAAGATTTGTAAACAATTGTAGTAGTTTGATAGTTTAGTTTATAAGTTGCGGAGAAAATGTCGTAAGATTTTATTTTTATAATTCCATTTTCTACTTCTTTTAATTTTGGGAAAGCGGAATAGTATCGAAAATTAACTGATCGAAAAAATGATTGTTATCGAAAAATAACTGACCGAAACTCATTTTAATGATTAAGATCGAAAATGTGATTTTCAGATTAATATCGAAAAGTTTTTATATCGAAATTCACAAATTTGAAACAATATCGAAAACAATAAAAACGGAATAAGATCGAAAACTCATTTAACTGATTTACATCGAAAATGTGATTTTCTGATTAATGTCGAAAAGTTTTTATATCGAAATTCACAAATGTGGAACAATATCGAAAACAATAAAAAAGGAATAAGATCGAAAACTCATTTTAATGATTAACTTCGAAAATAAGATTTTCCGATTAATGTCGAAAACAATAAAAACAGAATAAGATCGAAAATTTTTAATTGTCAAAAATTCTTTTTAATGATTAACATCAAAAATATGATTTTATGATCACACTTTTATTTAATAAAAAACTAGTATTAGGAAAAAATCTTAAGAAATTTTTAATACTAAGTCACTTTTCAAAAAGAAACTTATTTAATAGTTCGATGAATATTTCCTAACTTTTCACCCTAATATCGCATCATCTTAACAAAGTTAGCTTTACCTACAATGGAGAACAGCAGTTTAAATGAGCTTAATTTTTCAAAACACTTTGAGTGAGTTTCCTGCAGTTGTTTCTGAATCTGTTAGTTTTCGTCAAATTATCCCAAGTCTTCAAAAAAGGAGAAGGCTAAATGAGCCTTTAAACCCAAAATCACCTAATGCTGAAGTTCTGAACGACAAAGAATGCCATCGCTATGGAGACATTTTCTTGGGATCAGTTCCAGAACAGGATAACGTAGCATTGCTGTTTGGGCATATGCTAGTCATCAACAAGGCGAAATTGGTCAAAGTGTGTTTTGTTGATGGAACATTTAAGTATTTATACGTATCCATTTAACTTTTTCAAAAAAATATATGTTCTGGAAGAACATATATTTATCTAGGGCGCTGTCCATTAATTACATCAACAAACTTTTGGCTATTTTTACATTACCCCCTCCCCCATGTCAACAATTTGTTAAATTTCCAGAGATACTTCTTTCCCCTATAAAATTACGTCAATTTTTGATAACCCTCCTTCCCTAAATAAAGACGCTGCGCTAAAAACGCAGGCAAAATTTTTTTTTTTTGAGTAACGAAATTAAAAAAATAAAGCAACATTGTTGATGTCAACTTTACTTGACCTCCTTCCCTCACCCTTAGCAAAAATTTTCTAAAAAATTTAGACACCCCCTTCCTTATTTTTTTAACGTTATTAATGGACAGCCCGTAGACAAAAAAAAGTGATATATTAAAAACGTTAGGTAGAACACTTTTATTTACAGTTGTAAATTATAGTTACATTTATTGTACTTCCAGCATGACACCACAGCTGTATGCGCTTTAATGACATCGAAATCTGAGGCTCTATATAAGCATGTTTTTTCGAAAATAAAAGAAGTTTTAGATTTCTCTCCAGTCACCATTATGTCAGATTTTGAACGAGGACTACAGAATGCTTTAAAAACAACTTGGAGTGAAAGCTTGGTGAATGGTTGCAGGTATAAGTTATTACTTTGTTATAACTTAGTTTCCAGTTTCTAAATTATCCAAGTTTTTCAGAGTTTGTTATCAATTAATGATCTCCTTTAAATCCTTATCTTTAGGTTTCATTTCGAAAATGCAATCACCAAGCAATTAGCAATTCTTGGTCTTCAGAGAGAATACCGCCACCAAATTCAAGTAAAGAAGTGGGCACAAAAAGTTTCAGCACTTTGTCTCCTTCCTGCAAACAAGATCTTGGTTGCTAGGGGATCTCGAGTTATTGAGATTGCACAATTTAGTCGCGAAATCAAAATCAAACTGCTTGCTTTTAAAAGATATTTTGAGAGTTATTAGCTCAATATAGCGACCCCAGAAGGATTCAGTGTTTATGGCTTGAACCACAAAACCAATAACAATGCAGAGAGTCTCAATAGACATTTGAAATCAAACATGGGTGATCGACATAGAGGATTTTGGCAGTTTATGAAATTGCTTAACCAGCATGTAATAGTCCATACAATTCAAGAGATTCAACAGCTTCCCTGCAATCAGCCAGTCCGCCGTGACCAACGCGACTATGGTGCAATTGAAAAAATGTTTTGAGAAAAAACTTCGAGACGGAGTTTAGACAACTGATAGATTCCTTTCAACAGTATCATATCTCTTTCAAAACATCAAAGTAGTATAAGATAATTTTCCAAGTTTATGTATAACACTTCTTATTTATTAACCTTTATCAATTTTTTTACCAAACTAATTAGTTTAACTTTATTTGATAATATATTATTTTCCATGAAATATGGAAAATTGTATTTGAAATTTTTAAATATTTTTAGTGCTTTGGATGAAAACGTAATGAAGGTTGGTGAGAGTCTTCCTTTGCCAACATCTACTTCAACAGAGTCACCAAAGTGCGTTGTTTGTACCGTCAATGAACGAAATGCATTAGTAATGCCTTGCAGACATTTTTTGTTTTGTCAGCCCTGCATTCAACAAGTCCAAAAAAGCAACACAACTCATTGTCCCACTTGCCGAGGACCAATATCATCTATAATTGAACCTTTTCAATGGTTCAGTAAAATTTTCCCTTTTACCTATATTTTAAAAACTAGAATGTCACACAATTGTTTAAATTTATTTAAAAAAATTTATTATATAAAAGCAGTATAATTTTTTTCCTATTGCTCCGCCTGGAACAAAAAATAATCAATAACGTCGTTTTTTAGTTTACATAAATGACTTTAAATTCCATTTGGGCCTACAAGATTTTCCGTAAGTTGGCGTATTGTATTGGTTTCAGTTGAGCAAACCCCATATTACGTTAAGGATAAGTACTAAATAAATTCCATCACCCTAGAAACAATAGTCATTTACATGTTAAATTTATTGTATAGATAAATGTAGCATAAAGCTGCTTGTCTAGCAAAATTAAATAAGTTTCCTTGAAGCAAGTGACAGTATCAACAAGACTTATTGTGAGGGTTACTATGTTACGATTGGCAATTTCGTGTGCACAAGCGTGTTAGAAGCAACTTTTTGCTTTTAACTTTTTTTAACTAGGTTTTAAAACTTGTCTAGCTAGCTTTTAACTTGTTTAACTAGGTTAAAACTAAGAAGAAGAAAGTGAGTGCTAAAACATTTTGGGCCGGGATCATAACTTGTTACAGTCAGCAAAAAAATATATAGAAATTAAACAAAAAACTATATAATTGGAAAGAGCTCGTCAAAAAGTATGTGAAAACCATATGCTGAAAATATTTCCTTTCCAAGATATAACACCTTATAGATTATATAAAACACAGACCCAGATTTTACAGACCAGCACAAAACAGCTATAAAAAAGGATTTTTCATCCTTAATTTGCTTTATAATAAATATGTATTTTGTTTAAAAAGTTGCTATTGATATAAATTTTCTATTAAAAGCTAGTTTCTATTAAATTTATCAGGCCCTTACTGTTGGTAGGGGTGGGAAAAGAGAGGAGATAATCGTGAGCGATTGACATCTTTTTTTTGACCAAATGCTCTTAGTTTCACGTTATAAAAATTAATTAAGATTTTCTATTCTTGACCACAATTTTCTCCGAAACGACCAACCTAACCTCAAAGTCTTTACGATATGGGCTTGTATATTTATAGAAGATTATTGATTGTACTTTTTATAAAAAGTACAATCAATTAACTTCTATACATAAAATAATTTGTTAGAAGATTAGTAAATTTACTAATCTTCATATATTTTATTCACTAATATATTTTGATAATTTTTTTTTTTCATAAAGTAAGTGTTTAATAGTTCTTTTTGGAATTTTATGTTTTGCTTACATAAACTTCATATATTTTATTCACTAATATATATACTAATAATTTTTCAAGTTAGTCGAGTTTCCTAAAAGGCCTTACAAAATTTTTTATGAATCTAATTTGCGAATAATATATTAACAAGTATAATTGAACATGGGCTACGGCATGGGGGTATATCTACATTGGCTACGTCATGGGGGAGGGGTCAAGGAGGCATTTTCCCTCCCCCTCTATCAGAATTTGTAGTAAGGACAATTTTTTTTTATATAAAGTAAGTGTTTAATTGTTCTTTTTGGAATTTTATGTTTTGCTTACATAAAATATTTAGCTAACATTCAAGGCAGTGCACAGTGGGCCAGCAGTGAGCAAAAATTAAAAAAATGAGCAAAACCAACCTTTAACAATTCAAAATTTTTTAATCTTTTTTGAAAGTGAGTAACCTGAAGAAAACTTAAATGGTTGTAATATTATGTTTTAGTAAATAGAATTATTGTTAAATTGATTTTATAACCCACAAAGTAAATAGAATTATTGTTAAATTGATTTTATATGTAGTTATTAATTTTGATCACTTTTTCATGTTTCTAGCCCACTGTGCAGTGGGCCTAAAATCATTTTGTTAAAAAATCACTAAAGGCCAAATGTTTTCAAGCATTTAAACAAAGGCAAATTTTTTTTATTATTTCCAAAAGATGTCACTAATATTTCTAAGATACAACACGTTATCTATGATAAAAACGACGTTGTTGTTGCAAATGATAAATAACATTATTTATAACTGCGTCACTTGGATTTGATTTACAATTTAAGCGGATAAAGAAGCTTGAAAATAAGTGAAGTTTGAACTGTATTTTATGAAGTGCACCACCACTTTTGTGAAATATTATGTTCATAGTTTTGTCGTTAACATGGATTTGTGAGTGTTATCATACTTCGCTTTAACGCGTTGCAACGCGTAAAATTAAAATATGATAAAGTTCGGGTATAATGTGACTCTTCGTTCACATTTCCATGTTAACGACAAAACTATTTGCATGGTATTTCATAAAATTGGTTGGTCACTTCATAAAATAGAGTTAAAATTTTACTTATTTAGGGTTTGAGCTATTACTGAAAAATTTTCAGAATTTTTTTTTGCTTATTGTTATAAGTTTAACGTCATGGCTCCCAGCTCTAAATGAGAAAAATGTTTCTTTTTAGATTTTTACATATATTCTTGATATTTATATATGTAAATGAATCTTTACTCTGACAGTTTGAAAAAGGTCTTTTTCTTTAACTTGAGTTAATTTTTGTAGTTTTAACAGAGTTTTTTTTACTCTTGGCCCAATTTGCCCCAAAATGGGAAAACGGGCTTTGTGCATTTTTACCCTATTGTCTTGAATGGGCGATTGGGCCAAGAACAATGAAAGTTCTGTAGAAGAAATTAGACCTAATATTTTTACCTATTTTCTAATTATTTATAAATGTTAATGAATTTGTTTACCCTGACCGTTTGAAAAAACTCTATTTCTTTATCTAAAGTTAATTTTTACGGTTTAAACGAAGCTTTTATAGCTTTTGATCCAATTGCCCCAAATGGGTAAACGAGGAGTGGAATTCTTACCTAGGGGCCCCTAATATGAGAATGATAATTTGTAGAATTGAATGCTTTAGTAAAAAAGAAAACAATAAAAATAATTCAGCATAATTACTTCAATGAAATTCCTTCTTGATAGCATATGAAAAATAAATTTATTATCAAAATTTAGTGCCATAATTCCTTAAAAAAAACTCAACAAATCTTGACGCAACATAGGCGTTATTGAGCCCAACATAGATTGTCATAACTTGGGAACCAGTTATCCAAATTTAAAAAATGAACACATTCTGAAAGCTTCTTCATTATCCGCATATAATGGTATTAATTATAACAAGAGATAATTGTAATAGTAAAATCGTGTGAAGTGCCTACTGTAAATAAAATCAATACATTTTGTTTTGAATCGTTTTATAAATAGCCAACAACCCAACATTCAATATTTTTGCTCTACTAATAGAGCTTTTTGTTTATATTATACAATTATACAGTGTAATTACTACACTTTAATTAAAAACCTTTTTTTTCTTTAGAATATTAGATATCTGAAAAAAATTAAAATAGTTAAACAAGTTTCAATATTTCCAAGTTTCTTCACTTAAAGCAAATATATGATTATTTATAGAGGTTTTCTTTTATTAGTTTTGTATTTACTTATTTATTGCAAATCTTGCATTAAATGCGTTTCAAAGTAATGAAAGGGTTTTTATGATGAATGATTACATTTTATCCTTATAGTTTTATTACTTATAGATTACATTTTATCCTTATAGTACTTGCTGAGCAGACAAACCTTATTATGTTTAATTTGCTTTATTTATGAGTTCTTATATGTAAAAATTTTTTTTTAAATTACTTTACTTTTTTTTTTTATTAAATGCTTATAATATTTTGTCAATAATTAATAGCAACTAACTTAAATATGTAACAATACTCAGTTTAAAAGATTATATCAATTTATTTATAACTTTAGTTTAACCTTTTAATAAAAGTATGTTATCTTAACACATTGTTATATATGGTAGAATATAAAAGATTATTATATTATGCTCTATATTATTTGCTTGCACTTTATTTTAGATTAGTTTAAAAAAGAAAACTCAATTTTTTATTATATTAAGCACCGTTTTTACACACCTTTCATGCATGATTATGTCTGATAATTTAAGAAATGAAATTATTAGACTTTGTCAAAATAAAAGAAAGCAGGCTAGGCGAGCTGAGATAAACCACCATCAAAATAAAAGAGGTGAGTCCAGGCGAGCTGAAATAAATTGTAATCAAAATGAAATAAAGCAAGCTAGGTGAGAACTCAATAGGTACAATATACATCGCATAGCAAGAAATAATATTGCTACAGAGAGTAATTACCTCGGAGAATTCAACCATAATTATCAGTATTGTAGTACGAAGAAATTTTTAAATGAAACTCATTTTTTGTGCATTCAGGAAAAGTTGTATTAGCTCCTCTTTCTCTATTTCCACCATTGTTGACTGATTTAATGACAGGAAACCATGTTGATCATGCTGTAAATTAAAATTTTTTAAACACATTAGGAGTTACCCTAGTAGCAAACAATATTGGCGCAATATTGGGGCGATATTGTTTACAATATTGGCGCAATATTGTAAACTATATCGGGCCAATGTTGCAGTGTGAACATTTACTACCAATATTGGCGCTACAATATTGGCCAATATTGGCAATACAATATTGCCCCAATACTGTAAAGTCAATATTGACCAATACTGGCAAAATGTTCACAATGCAACATTGGCCGATATAGTTTATATTATTGCGCCAATATTGTAAATAATATCGCGCCAATAATGGGGATATTATACTGGCCAATATTGGCCTAATATAGTTTACAATATTATCCTGATATAATATATATAACTAAATTTAGGCAATATATTGAGTATTTTCGATTAAATTTTTATTATTAAAAAATAATAAAAAATATTGCCTTCTACAAATTTGTAATAATTAAAATTTATAACAGTTTTCTTGTTTAAGTGATATGTGATATTCTAGTACTAGGCTGCATTATTCTTTTGAGTTAAACAGGTTATAGTCTAGGAGATGACAATGATCTTAGAACACGCTTTAAAAAAAAAAAAAAAAAGGAAGTCATTAAATTTATTTGAAGTTATATAAACAGATACAAATGAAAAAAAGAGGTATAGAGTTTTCCAAAACCAAAATATAACAAAATAAAATCAATGCTATTTAAATACAGGTACAAAAAATATGTATAT